TCTATCTAATCTATCTATCTATCTATCTATTTATCTATCTATCTATCTTTTCTTATCTTTCTTATCTTTCTTATCTATCTTATCTATCTTATCTATCTTATCTATCTTGTCTATCTTATCTATCTTATCTATCTTATCTATCTTATCTATCTTATCTATCTTATCTATCTTATCTATCTTATCTATCTTATCTATCTTATCTATCTTATCTGTCTTATCTGTCTGTCTGTCTGTCTGTCTGTCTATCTATCTATCTAATCTAATCTAATCTAATCTAATCTAACCTAATCTATCTATCTATCTATCTATCTACATATATATATATGGCCCAGCCCAGCAAACCCCCCCTCACGGTCATGGTCCCGTACAAACGCTGTATGTAGGAGTCTTGGTGTCTGATAATTTACTTGTCGCTAGCAAATATATTGTAGGGTCTACTTGACCCCTGCCCCTTCCCCGCCGGATGGGTGGAGGCTAGGTAGTGTGTTGCTGGCATGTAAGGCAGTAAGTAGGTCGTATGTGGCCAGCATGTAAATGATCTAGGGTCTACTGTACCCCCGCCCCCCTGTGGGGTGGGTGGGGGCTAGGTAATGTGTCACTAGCACGCGAAACAAAAAGTACACAGGTAGTATGTGGCTACAATTACAATGCTCCACGCCCCCCTATGGGATGGGTAGGTGCTATAGAGGTATCATGTATATAGATAGTGTATCAGTGTATAGGCAGCATGTGGCCAGCACGTATGTATAGCACATGAGATCTTGATAGTAGCTAGCTGCTAGAATATGGCTACTATAAAGGTACTTCATGGGCAGTAATACGTTGTAAACAGATTGTATGGGCATATAGGGAGTAGGGAACACTGCATGGAGGTATCCTGTTATGTAGCGTATAGGTGGCACGAGGCATAGCATATTAGATCTTGACGGATGGTCGTGGATGGCCAGGCCACCCCCCTGGCGTGGTTGCTTGGGGGGGATAGCATTGGACGGGGAGTTGCCCGGCGCCCGGGGCGGGACCATGTATAGGGCAATGGTCACTTTTAGTGCATGGCCCCAAGTCATTTGTTTTTAGAGACGTGTGATCCTCTTCGGCTTTGAGAAACTGGAAAGTATGCTCTTGTTTCTTGTAGGTTTCCTTTATGTTTGGTTTTTTTCCGGCTGCACATGATTTTAGCACGGGATCAGAAAGCCACCCGACACTTTCACATCCAGGGAACCCCGTGAGATCACAGTATTGGAAGCACAAACCAAAAGATATTGAGGAAGAGGGGAATGTAATTGTAGCAATGCTGGACCTTGTTCTTCCCGCCAAGATGGTCCCTTGGCAATAACCATTAAAGCCAAAGATTGACATATAGGCTATAGGTGCTTGATGGTGTTTGATTGTCTCTCACGCAAATGGTGAAATCCTACAAGTACCGAATCACCTGCGTGATAAGGATTATTTGCACATCAGCATATGTTATCATGTTTTGGAGAGTGCATTTATCGTTTTCCAAGCACCGGCTCAATTTGAAAAAATGCCGTGGTATCCCCAACAGCCGCAACGTTTTATTTTGCAAATCTTTCTGAAGCGTGCTGCGAAGCCAAGCGCTGGCAACACCTCAGGTGGGTTTCCGTGAATTAAAGCCGCAAATCCTGTTGAACCTGACCTGGCTCTGCACCAAAGCCTCCCACACCTTCTCCGGAACCTTCTCCGAAACCCTGTTGAACCTGACTTGGCTCTGCAATCTCTGCACCAAAGCCTCCCAGACCTTCTCCGGAACCTTCTCCAGAACCCTGTTGAACCTGACCTGGCTCCCAGACCTTCTCCGGAACGCAACCTGACCTGGCTCTGCACAAAAGCCTCCCCAACCTTCTCCGGAACCTTCTCTGAAACCCTGTTGAGCAAGGCTTCCTGGACCCTTCTCCGGAACCTTGTTGAGCGCGACCTGGCTCTGCACCGAGCCTCCCAGACCTTCTCCGGAACCTTCGGAACCTTCTCCGGAACCTCGTTGAACTTGACCCGGCGGCTGCACCAGTGCACACCGGAGCTGTTCTGGGCTGAAGGCCCCATTAGCTTACGCTGTTGGGGAAAAATTAAAGGACCGGATAACCCCACAAGTCAACTTCTTCCAATAATGAGTTTCAAAGGTTGTAGCGGGGTCGGAGAAGGAAGGAAAGACAAAGGAGGTGGTGAAAGATCGAGAAGGTAAAACGGTATGTATGTATGTATGTATGTATGTATGTATGTATGTATGATGTGAGGTTGGATGTCACCAAGTGCCACGCAAAACGACGGTAGGTGTGAGGTTGTGCCACGCCTGCCACGTGAAATCAAGGTGGATGTCACCAAGTGCCACGCCTGCCACGCAGAGTGGCGCGGCGTCACAGGCGTCACGGCGGCGCCTAAACCAGTCCAAGCGCGCCACCCAGTGCCATCTGTCCCACGCCTGCCACGCAAAACGACGGTAGAGTGGAGGTTGTGGCACGCCTGCCACGTGAAAGCAAGGTGAGTG